ATGCTTTTCAGGACTCAGAAGTACACATAGCCCTTCAGAAGTGCCCACATAAAGGGGATTTCTTGAATCTCCCAGTTGTCCAGACTAAGCTCTAACTCCAAACTTCAGTATTTCATTCCATCACTTTTCCCGTCCCTTATCTTTTTTTCTGCAAAGGGATGCTGAAATATTTGGCTTGACTCACAAAGTCCCGGTACACTTAAGTGTACCCCTATCACCTAAGGGGTTACACTTACAGAGCTTCACTATCTAATTTTCACTCACATAACTATATGAAATGAATGCCAAAAAAGTATTATCAAACCATTTGTATTGGGGTTTTCAAATTAAATGAGAACAGAACACACACAGCACTATGTGTGTGTCTATTTGCTACAAAGTTCTGAAGTGAGATATCAACATTACTGAAATTAATATGCAGTAGACTTGGTTCACGATGGCATGTCTCCAGCATCATAAGTAAATTGTGAATGAGGCTTGGGATTCTATTTTTAAAGTATTTTTCCTCCTTCTGGGAACCATTTGTGTATGAGACAAGTTGCACTTGTTCCCTTCAGCAATTAAAAAAACCTGTTTGTTTCCAAATATTCAGATGTTAAAACAAGATTTTCTGCAGGACTTCCACTTCATGGCCAAGTTATTAGCCATTATGGTTATTTTTTACTTTTTTACTAAGCATTACTCACTAATGTAATTGAAGCATCTCACCAGAGCCTGCTCTGTGAAGGGATCACTGCAAAAGGCAGTCAAACTGTTTGTTCTCCTCAGCTGCAGTCCATACCCAGGCCCTAGAGCTGCAGGGACTAGCAAGGAAGCAGGGGGGGAGTGGTGACTTTTCCACTGGGAGTTCCAGTCACTTTTCTCCAAATTCGGAGCCTGCTCAGCTGGGCAGATCCAGTTGCTTCCCCGCAGCTGGCTACACCAATGTAAAGTAGCTGAAAGCACTCATGGCAGCAAAAGCATTTCTGTATCCTAGTATCACATCACTTCAGAACATGTAACATAATTAAATGAAGCAGGGAAGTACAATCATCCCCACAGCAACACATGCAACTTAGGCACATCAATGGCAGGCCCACAGTTAGTCTACTTCTAGTCACACTATCTCCAAGTAGAAAAAGAAGCCCCAAGCACATGCTACAAAAACCAAAAGTGATCTAGTATTTCCCCCAAAATGGTAACTTGTCCCCAGAAGAATCAAAACGAAAACCATCATGCAGCTTGGTTTCCTGTGGAACACTGCTATACTGCAATTAGTTTGGGGTATTTTCCTTAATGTATCATTCTTCACCTGTCCACTGCCAATGTGATTTGTCCCATGCCTCGGAAGGAAAGGCAAGTCTTTTTACACCTGTGTCCTTTTCAGAAAAGTTTCCTTCCCCTACCTCTGCATCTAGCCAGTGCAATAAATAACCACCAGCATGCAAATCAACTCGATCTAGTCTCCACATTTCCTCCATCTGTTATCATCTGCTCCTCCCTCATAATTGCACTGGTTTCTTCAGAAGAAAATGTATGACACATGTAAACTGTATTTCTTCAGAGCAGAGATGGGTTATGAACTGCTCATTACTAACATGGGACAAGATCTCAGAAGTGCAATCCATGGGAAAAAATGCAACTGATGGTCTCCAATGGCCAAAAAACCAAAAAAAGTGTCAGCTACTATTTGGAAACACAGAGGGTTTAAAAAACACCATCATCATATAAATCAATAGTATTCCTATCTTGGATACCAGCTTTTCCTGCTATAAGGAAAGAAGATGACCCAATGTCCTGATAAAAGTTATGGAGACAGCTTCTGTGCAATGATTGCCTGCCATAAATTCCAGGAAGGTCTTTAGGACCATCACCTGAGTATGCAAGGATAATATTGTGAAGGCCGGAATTAAACTGGAGTTGAAAAAGGTGAGGGATGTGAAGGACAAATAAGAGCATCGGTCAGTACATCAGCAGCAAAAAGAGGACTAAGGAAATTTGGCACTGCTCCTAAGTGGGACAGAGCACAAGCTGCATGGGATACAGAAAAGAGTACATCAGTGCCATCACTGCTGGCATGGTGTAGTCCTGGAGCTCCCAGATCCTTATGGAGACCAGCAAAGTTTGAGGGAGAAAGATGCTGTTCTTGGATGAGGAGCATGAAGTTAGAGACTACTTAAGTAAACTGGACAAATGTAAGCTCATGGGATCACATGGCAAGTGATAACACAAACAAGCTGGCCAATGTCACTGTGAGGCCACCTTCTGCCATCTCTCAATAATCACAGTGTTTGTGAGAGGTTCCCAGAGGCTGCAGGCAAGCAGATCTGAGATACAGCATCAAGGAAGATACAGCTGAGCAGCTTCACCTGAAAACCTGGGAGATTATTTTCAGACACAGTAAGAGCAAGAACTTCCAGACTGGGAACTGTCAGCATGGATACAACCAAAAGCAAATAATGCCTGACCAGCCTGAGCTGAAAAGAGAAGGCTCTGTAAGATAAGAAGAGAGCAGAAGTTGTTTACTTGGACTCTGCTTGTGACATGCTACCCCATAGCATCCTCACAGTCAAGCAGGAGATAAGGAATGGACATGTGGGCTCTGCAACAGAGCAAGGGAAAAGTAGCATGACAGTGCATTTTCCAGATGCAGTTTTTTCAATATTATTAATTCTGAGGTAACAGGAAAGATCATGGCACAACAAACTTTGGCCTGAATCTAAAATTTTAATACATGAAAATTGGCAGATTTTGCTACTATGTAGGAGAGAGCGTCCAGATGCAGAAGGATCTGTTCATGCCAGTGATTATTTTTAGATGATTACCAATGTCCATCTGAACACACCAATGTACCCTGCTTTCAGATGACACTGAAGTACAAGAATACTTCATTCAGTCTTAATATTTCAATGATACAATTGCCCATCATGTCCTCTGCAAGGAACAGGACTCTCTGCACTGGTTTATAATAATGCCTTTTGAGTCCGTTGGTCTTACCAGCTATTACCCTACAACAAACACAATACGTCTTATAAAATTGTGCCCAAAAAAGACATGTCCTCTTAAACACCTATTTCCTAGCCCAGAACCTGGCTCTAGTATCATGTTTTTGAGAATTTGTGTTTATGATTTTAACAGCTTATTCTAATGTTTGAGGACTACCCATATTTCTAGTCTATACTTTTTAAAACAAAACAAAAAAAGCATACTCTCTACCAGGATATAAGTGCCTCTATTTAATTGCCTTTATTAAGGGATAATGTAGAAAAGAGTCAGATCTGTTTTCCTTTTTTTTTCCTACTTACTCTTTCTCCCCTTCTATGCTTGTAGCTCCACACATTTAAAGCTTTAAAAAGTCAATATCCAAAACCAGTAAAATTCTGCGTGCACTGTGCAGTTTTAAAATTATTTGATCAAACTGCTTTTAACATTCACTTGCCAAAACACAACTTTTACTCATGCTTTTAAGATCATACAACAAGTGTACTTGCAACACATAGGCCTGGGTATAGGCCCTTCCCCTAGGTAGGGGAAGGAAAGGAATGACCCAAGAGGCAACGGAAAAATTATGCATGGGGCAAAGGAGAGAGCCAGGTGTCAGGCAGGGCTGCACAAGACCAGAGGGTTTGTTGCCCATCCTTTGGGCTGCATCCCTGGGTTCCCGTCCCCGACCCTTCCAGCCCCACCAGCCAGCTCTGCCCTCTCTCTGTGCCCCTCAAGGTGCTAAGTTTGAACAACTGCACGCACTTGATGGCCTAAATTTACACCTCTGCCCCAGCGCTACAGGCTGGGACAGCAAGCCTGTCCCCGTGCTTTGCCACCTATGGGTCACCCAACTCCAGGTCTCCCCGTCCTCTCCTCCCTTGTCTGGGAGGGGCCAAAGACGGCGGGGCTGGCCAGGCCTGGCACGGCCTGTCCTCTCATGCCTCGGCTGAGACATGGCTTCAGCATGGGCCCTTCTCCAGAGGTCACCGGCCGCTCCCCTTGCACTGCTCCCTTCTGCCAGCCGGCCATGGCTCCGTGCCCAGATTAAACCCGATAAGCCCCGGGCAGGCTGCCGTGGGGCCTGCCGGACAGGCTGGGCTCTGGAAGGACTCGGTGGGTCCTGCTAAGGGGCTCAGAGCGGGTGGTGGCCACTCTCCTTGCCCACAGCAGCGATAGCCCATTGCTGGGCTGCCCGCCGGCCTCCGGGGTGCGAGTGCGGCTGGGCACCTGTGTGTGGGTCAGTACGTGTGTGCGTGTGCACCCATGTGTATACGTTTGTATTTGTGTATGTTTGTGCATACGTGCGTGTGTACATACCTGTATATACGTGTGTGTGTGTATGTACAGACGTACCCGACACCCGCTCTCCCCGTTCCCTCACAGCGCCCCACCCGCGGGTCAACCCCAGCACCCTGCGCGCGCACGCGCAGCCCCAAGCCCCGCCCCGCGCGCCCGCCTGGCAGGCTCCCCCACGCCACGGCCCCGCGCTGCCGTCTTCCAACATGGCGGCCCCCGCCTCGCGTGCGCGGGGGCGCAGGCGCCG